GCTCCTCAGCACCAGGAATATAGTGAAAAAACGAAAAATATGTTTTCTGAGTATCCAAGAGTTATTCTGAGTATCCAAGAGTTTTAACAGCAGGAAGATGGTGAAAATACGAAAAAAATCAATAGTTTTGTGGATTATACCGAGTTTCCGAGAGTTTCATATAAGGTTGTCGTGTAACAGCAGAAAGACAGTTCAAAATACTAAAAAATGTTTTTAATATTTTTGTGCATTTTACCGAGTCTCCGAGTACCCATACATGCAGTTCTTAACACTTTAGTTTATTGTTAAAAAATCATAAAAAATATTAGTGCAAAATCTATAGAATATAGTGCCCGGATTTTATTCCGTTGTTGATTTCATTTACATGAAAAGTGTGTATTTACGAAAATAGTGTAACATTTTAATTTGATATTTGTAAAAAAAACATTTAAGAAAAACATCGACATTTTTGCGACAAGAATAAATTTAAAAATTCGCATAATTCCGTGTTTCAGCAAGACAAAAAGGATTATTTTTCTACATCATGCATTTAGTGAATTGTTGTGGTGACAAAATAGCTATTATTTTTTGAAGAAATCATGAATATTACTTGAACATAAAACATACTTCCAAAAATATTATATCGATTCTCCGAGTGTTTCATATGAGTTGGCCATGTAGCAGCGGAAAGACAGTCAAAAATACGGAAAAAATGTACAAAAATAATGTAACACAAAAATTGAAAAAAAATCTCTATCTATGTGTATGTGATCTATCTTTCTTTACGTTAAAAATGTGTGTTATGCCTTTGAAAAATGCAATCTCCAAAAAGTTAGCAAAAATTTGAAGTATTGTGCCAGTGTTTTATTGCCGTACTGTGTACGTTCGGCTTTGTCATATATTCGCAATGATTTAAATTGCAGCTATAATACAAATTTAAGTTCAATTCGTTCAAAAAAATGTGTATTTCATAGTGTTTTTTGGAAGAAAAGTGTATTTACATTAGTGAAAATGACTACGAAAAATAATAAAACTAAAAAAAGTGAACCAAATTTTTGAATTTTTTTTTGGTACGTTCGGCTTTGTTATTTTCAATGATTAGAATTGCTGTTGTGATAGTGATTTGTAGTGAAAATTTTATGCCGCTTGTGATCAAAAATACGCTTTTGGGATTATGTCGTATTTTCTGTTTTCAAAAGAATTTTCATCGAGTCTTTGCTAACTTCTTTCAGAAGTTCACAACAATTTTTTCCTGGATTCTTAAGTTGCGCTGTTGACTTTTAGTCTTTTATTATTGGCACGATTTAAAAATAACCGAAAAAATTTACCAAAAAGGCGAGATTATTTTCTTTAAAAAAATATGAACAGAACTCGAAAATCATCCGACTTCAATATTTGTTTGCGAACCAATCATCGAGGAGACAGGCATCAATCATCGTGATTGAAATTACCTTTTACAAACTAGGGGTTTCGAAAAAGTAACATTTAGGTGCTAAGCTTGATTTTAAAAACTATTTGCATTGTGAAAAAGTTTAAGAGTTTAATTCTATGTTTTTCCGTGATAGCGGCAATTTAAAAAGAACAATTTCCTTACGTTTGATTATCTATATTGTTTGATTCGGTGTTTCAACTGAAAATCTTATAAAAATAAAAAAAATATATTCAGTGACAAATAGTGTTTTCGACTTTTTTCCAAAAATGTGTTTTTAATATTTAAATACAAACTTACAACAGATTTTCCATTGTTGTATTCTTATGAAAAATATAAATATGTACATTGTACAATTAATTCTTGACGTCGAATGAAAAAAAACAAATTAGAGTGTATAACTTAATGTATTATTGGTACTGGTGTTTCATCACGTCAATAGCATTTTCATATATATCAAAATAGTAATGGTAATAAATATAGGAAACACGATTCATAACATCACACTTGGATTATAATATACATTTTTAGTTTTCAACAAGGCAATTAATTAACAATTATTCAAAATGAATTAAAATAAATTGAATTCTCATTTTTTACAGTTCACACAATTTTTTTTTTTTTCAAATTTTCGTCGATTTACTCGCGTTTTACTAATAAAAATATGTTTATCAATAAAATAACATTTAATCAATCATCGAAAAGGCCAAACAAATGTTGCTCAAAAATTTTGAAAAAAAAAGTTTAATTTTTTTTCGTTGATTTCTAGCTTCAAACATTATTTTTCTTAGGCGGAATGCTAGGTTTATTATTAGTTTTGCTAAGACACCGTTCATTATCTAAAAACTTCATAATACTAATTCCGATTTCATAAAAAAAAAATTGGTATCACTATCGCTGTATCAACATCTTTATAAATACTAGTATCGTCAATCGTCATCGCTATCTTCAAAAATATCAAACATCTACATAAATACTATTATCTTCTTCAACATCTTCATTTATGAGTTCGTCAACGTTGTCACCGCCGTCTTTAGCAACGACTTCAGCAAAGTCGTTACTACGGTCTTCATCAACGTCAAAAGTTATTCTAGGCTTTTTAAGTTTTAAATGTGAAAAGTCTATTCCACACGTTTCAGCAGTGTCTTTTTTATGATTCAGCTCACAAATTTGTAATTTTTCATCATCAACAATTTTGGGTGTACTACATTTTATATAAAACAGGTGAATAATCTCTCTTACGATGTCTTTATTACGTTGAAATGTCAGTGGAGGGGCACCTGGCTTTTGACGTCTTTAAAAAAAACAGCGGTTAATTATAAATTATTTAAAACAAAAAAAAGAGTTAAAAACTATAATCACCTTCTAATCTTTTTCCCTGTAAATGGAAAATTTCCATTAGCTGGCGATGGTAGCTTCGGGAGTTCAATACTTTTTTGTCTAATAAATGTCAAATTACCATAAATTGTTGGTAAAATAAATATAACAGCAGTTATTAAACTAATATACAATTGTTTGTATTTAAAAAAAATGCGTGAAAGTTTGTCCAAATAATAAAAAAGCAACATTTTTTTATTTGGACAAAACTTCACATTTGCCTTGGGGGGTGGTATGCAAATGTACCGACTCTCGCGATACGACTAAATAGTGGCTCTAACACCAACATATGTTTTTTGCTTCATATCCGATTCTCGTGATACAACTGGAGGAAATTAGATGGGAGGCCACACAATTATGAATGCAAATACGCCACATACGCAATCTATTTTCAAAAAAACGTGGATAATTCCCCTTTTT